TTTTATCTTTAAATAAAAAATATGCCATGTCATCTCTTTTAAACTATAGAACTGCTGATAACTTACTAGCATACATTATTATATTTACATGTGTACTTAAATACAATTAATATACTGAATTCATTAAAAATAATTTATATCAACTATACTATGAATTGTCTTATCTTAAACATAATCATGTCATTGATGATTAAAAATATGCAGATATGTCCATGGAATCTGAACCCTCAAAAATTAATAAAAAAGCAATGCAGTTTTTCTTATAGATGCTAAAAGAGAATTAGTTTCCCAAACCCCAAAACATTAATAGGTATTAACAAAAGTATAAGGTAAGTAATCAACCTTGGTTTGGATATTAGATTACATGATAATATATTTGTTTTATAAAAATTAYTTAAATAACTATTCACCTTTAGCATGTATTTCATTCACAATAATCAACATTTCTGACCAATAGTACATTATCATATGTACAGACATATGTTTTGTGTTACGGATGAGTTTTGAAAGATCTGTATCACCTTTTTCCATTACCATGTAGAGTATCTTTTCTTTAGTAGTATATTGACTGAAAAATAAACATCTTAGTGTAAATTTAAATTTTGAACAATGAAATAACTTAAAGAAAGGAACATAAAATTTAATAATACATGCAATTTACCTGTCAAAAAGGTGTATGACACTTTCACATGATTGCAGGTTTTGTAGCAAATTAACTTCATTTAAATATCCTTTGGCTATAATATCTTCAACTTCAGATAAATCTACCTTTTTTATTGCTACCACTTGATTTGTGTCTGGATGCAAAACCTTATTAAATTTTAAAAATATATTAGAAATAATAACATGAATATGATTAACATATATTTACCTCATACACAATACTAGATCCACCATGACCAAGAGTATTAAGTATACTATAATTAACTCCTTTAACAGATAAATAGTTTTCATTAGCACATTTAACACATACACTACTTGATGAATTAATTGGYCGTTTAAATTCTCCATCTTGAACAAATCCAACTGGAACATGACGAATAGGAGATCGAGCTCGTATCACAAAGTTGTTACGATTTGCTGCAGGAGACAGTTCAAGGGTAGAATGTTTAGATTGATCATCTAGAGGTTGACATTCTAATTGCTTAGTTGTTAAAGAATTATTGATAAACGAATTAGAATTTCTGATAAAAGATGAATGTGATGTTTCTGGAATGACWGTTGTTTCTCTAATACTATGATACAAACTGGTATCATAGTTATATCTTGAAGTTTCAGGTGAYACGTAACATGTATCATCTTTCACACTTTCTGATGATTTATTTGCAGTTTCTTTGATAGTGAGTGACGGCGAACTAGTATTAATTTGGTTTAATTTTTGGGTTTCAGGAGTTTTTAATTCTTTTATTTGTTCTGGTAAATTTTCTTTATTACTGTATAACGATCGTTTGGTACTTGATGCAATATTAGATCTTACATTTTTAAAATTAGTTAGTGTGTCACTTGGAGTTTCTAAATCACTATCATTGTGAGTCTTAATGGCTGGACGAACAAATGGAGTATCATGTACTAAATCAAGTTTTTCAAAACCACTAACTAAATTTTCAGGTGTGCGTACTTGAAATGATCCTCCCAAATCAGCTTCTGCAGTTTTATTTTCAAACAAAGGTCGATTCTCGATTATGTGTTTTAAAGATCTACCCTTTTGTC